ATCCGACGCGTCGGCTGTACCGTAGCAGCGTAACCACAACCTGTTTGTTGTCGTTAGTAAGTCTATTGCAAACTATAACCTACACCTTAGATATATGACACCTCCATTTATGCCAATCAAAACCAGGCGGTCTGTACCGACGGTTGCTCAGCACATTGTTTCTGGCAAGCTTTCCGGCACTCCCTAGAATTCGCACGCATTCCGAGGGCTTGGAAACTGGGTGGTGTGGCCCATATACAATGGAGATCGTCTGGATCCTGCAAACTATCGCGCTCTGCAGAAGCATTGCTCTGGCGTGGACATCACCTCCACTACACAGCACGGCTTTCAGAGGAGGCGCTCCTGCACTACCAACCTACTGGTGGCGATGGAAAAATAGGCAAGATAAATAGGTGTTAGCAAATGCCTGGAACTTGTCTTCCTTGACTTCAGCAAGGCGTTTGATATAGTCCCACATCAGCGACTGCTGTACAAGCTCCGGGAAATTGTTGTCAGTGAACACCTATTCTCGTGGATCGCCGACTTTTGGGGGATAGAACCATGCAGGTGCGAGTGAATGAAACCCTTCCCAGTCAGCGCTACTGACCAGCGGGGGCCCGTAAGAATCTGCCCTCGGACCTGAACCTTTCAAGCTGTTCATCAGCGACCACAAAACGCTTCAAACCGAATGACTGTTTTATGCTGATGACCTAAGCTTTGCTCGGACGTCTATTCTGCTGATAAACTACAGGCGAAGCTGAATCTACTACTTGACTGGTCCACCAAGTGTGGTTAACTTATCCACTATGCCAAGTATGTCCTTCTGATTGGTGTGTCTGATCCACTTGGCACCTACCATATTGGGGGGGTTTCCTCCTCAAGAATGCCGACCGGGAGAAATACCTAGATGTTTTAATTGTATCAGACCTAAAAACGATTCAAGACACACTAAGGAGATTGGCCGCTGCTAACAATATGAGGAGTGTCGTAAGAAGGTCATTCTCCGGGTTGACACCGAAAATCTTAAGGCTACTATTCACCTCACGTAGGACCTATTGTCCAATCAAAGGCTTCCCTAAGAAAGGTGGTCGGCTGTCTAACCGTGGAGGACGGTACCCAGGCTGTAGACGACATCGATAAAGTAGAACAGCCGCTACGTGTCTACCAAAACCTGCATCGGAAGGATAGTGAATCAGGCTTTCCATCACAGCCGCACTGCTCAACTAGCTACACAGTGCGGGAAATTATTCTCAATGTGCCAGAGGTCTTCACAGTGCTAGCCAGTTTGAACCCTTATATATCAGCTGGTCCTGATAGTGTACATCTCACCATAGTTAAGCCTCAGGCTGATATCCTTCAGTATCCTGTCGCGGAGTTATTCAACCAGTCTCTTCAAGAATGCAAGCTGCTACGTGATTGGAAGGCGGTCACCATTGTTGCCATCCACAAAGGGGTTCTAAGTCGGTGCCTCTTAAATATAGACCTGTTAGTTTGACTAGCATCATGCTGAAGTGCTAGGAAAAGCTTACAAGAAATATAATCTGTGAGCATTTGACTGAGCACAATCTAATTAGAGCGGAACAACATGGCTTTCTTAAAAAGAAGTCTGTCTTACCAATTTATTGTGCTTTTAGACGAGATTACCCGATGTTTTGATAGTGGGATGTCAGTAGAGGTGTGCTATTTGGACTTCAGTAAAGCCTTTGATTCAGTGACTCATCGATTGTTAATTGAGAAGGTGATATTGCTTGGACTGCATCCTTAACTATTACTGTGACTTTGAATTCTTACGTGGAAGGACCTTCAGAGTCAGTGTTGGGGAAGCGAGTTCTAGTGTGGGCCATGCCTACAGCGGTGTCCCCCAAGGTTCTGTACTGGGTCCATTGTTGTTATGTTTATAAATGACCTGGCTGCTCTTCTTGAGGATCCCTGCTACTTTTTCGCAGATGACTTGAAGCTAGTCAGTAGAGGAAGCCGAGCGACATTGGCTAAGAGTATAAACACTGTGATGAATTAGTCGAGCCAATGCGATCTACCTCTGAATGCCAATAAATGTCAACTATTGACCAATAGTGGCAGCGGAATTGCAGTTCAGTCTCCTACAGGATCTCTATCATTGCGGTGTACTGATGAAGCCCGCGACCTAGTTGTCATCATAATGAACAATTTTAAGCCTTCGGCACAGTGTCGCCATGCTGCCAATAAAGCGCGACAAATTTCGTCTTAGGAGGGCGCTGAGTAACACTAAAGCAGAAGTATTCTTGCCGTTATATGAAGCAATGATTAGGCCAAATCTGGAGTATTGTGTTCAGGCCTGGGCATCGTCCTTTCGAAGTGACGTCATGTGTACAGAAAAGATTCAGAAACTTGCGACCAGAATGATCGAAGGTTAATGAGGAAAGTCATACGAAGATCGTGTAAGTAGCTTGGGATTATTTTTTTCGGAACGGTGTAGGTTGACAGGGGATTTGGTAGAAACGTTTAAGATCATTAAGGGACTTAGTGGTATTAGTCCCACCCATCTGTTTGAGTTAGCTATGTCAGACCATCTGCGCGAGGATCACCTGAAGCTCGAACAACATAGAGCTCGTTTGGATATCACGGCAAAGTTTTTTACGAACCGAGTAGTTAACTTCTGGAATAAACTTCCTTCTGATTTAGTGGAGTGCGTCTGTAGAAGCTTTCAAATGGGGATTAGATGAGTGTTGGTCTATCCTTTTTCCATAGGTATTGCAATTGTACTGGAATATGTAGTGTATTTTGATGATGACACATGAAAGTGCACAGATTGCTCTTGTTGCTTCATTCCTTTGCAGAAACAAGAAGTCAGTTCAGCGTCGAAGTGCCGGGGGCCGCTTCACTTACCGGCACAAGAAAGTGAACGCTCGTTAGGCGAAAACCTCTATCGTCCGTTTGACCTGACCTGAATACGGTCTACCGGTAATCTTTCCGCTTTCAAAGCTAGGATGTACCCTAATAGAAAGGGTCCAGAGACGAGGCTCAAACTCTCTTCGGACTTCGGGATTTCCCGTACCCTCTTCGACTCCAAGAGATGGATCTCTTCTCACTTTACTACCATCGCCGCCGTGGAGACCTCATCTTCAACAGGCGCATACTAAGAAGCTCCAGTTTTTTCACTCATCGTAGAAGGCCTACCACGAGGTCACACTTGGAAAGTTTCAAAACCGAAGATGCTCCGAGTCCGCTCCGCCATCTCTCCTTTTACTTGGGTGATAAACGACTGGAAGTGCCTCCAAGAAACCGTAGTCAGCGCACAGACTGAGGAAAGTTTCAGGTGGCTTTTGGATTCCCATCTGCGTAAGATGCCTGAACAGCATTGTTCATCTGCGACTCCCCTGGTCACTTGTGAACTGTTGGGTCGCTAAGGCACACGTGTTTCTCGTGCTGATCTGGAGGCGACCGGGCTAACATTGGATTTCTCTTCCGCCCTCTACAACTCATTGAACTCCAGGCACACATAAGTACATACTTATTACAGAAGAGTAGTAGGGGGAGTTGAGTGGTATAGGTAGCAATTCGTCTCATCTATACTTACATACATACTTATCTGCTTCCCTATTGGTCTATCATTCTGCTTCCAACACCTAATGTACTTACGTAGTTAGATGCGTTTCAGGTTACAATAGTTTGCTTATCGGTGCGACTTTCTTACTTCGGCTCATGCGTTTGACTTTTCGTATACAACAAAGGCGTCGCGGCTTACAAACCTAAGCCCTTTAATTACGTCCTCCTACAGTTTACTGCTCTGCTCCGACTTCACCTCCTGCCGAAACTGCATGGGCCTAGTCGACAACATCGTTTGCAGACTGTCTTGACCTACTACCTGCGGCTTCCAACTACATAGTAGGCCGAAAACTAGTTTCTATGGCACCGCGCTGATGAAGGACAACGTCGATTTGACGCTTTAGAGTTCCAGCCTCATGATGCTTTAACAAAAGCACTAGGTGTGCTGGATAAGTTATTGGACCAGCGTACAAACCTTTTCATGACTCGCCTCAAATTTGGCTGACTTACACAGGAACCATCGGAAACCCCAGACAGTTTTGTTACTCGCCTCATTCGCGGTGTACGACCCTGCGAGTATTTAACCATACCGAAAAATAGAATCGAAGGCGTCATGCTTATTACAATAGTTGATAAATGGAATCACCAATAACCGTGTTCGGGAATGCTTACTTTCCAGAAACGCTACCAAATTGACTTGGAATAAGGCTGTGGAGGCGAAAGGGATAACATAAGACTTCCCTTCTGTCCCCTGTAAATCAATAAACTCAGTGTACTGGCTGATCTGTCTGACGAAGATAATTTTTAAAATTATAGAAAGATTTTTTAAGAGATCCCTTAATCTTTACCTGGAGATCCTGCATATCCTCTCATGTGCTGAACATGGTTTTCAGAAGTCGTTCCTGTGTCTCTTGTCAGGAGAGAAAAATAGGCGAGGTCGCTGAATGCCGTTAATCGCCTGGATGTCCTTTTCATCGACCTCAGTAGGGCATTCGACAAACTTCATCCTGGACGTCTTCAAATCCTGGAAATCAGCATTTCTGGAAAGCTCCTTTCCTGGGTCGCTGAGTTTCTGAATAACCGAAGCATGCAAGTTAAAGTGAACGATACCTACTTCAATCTTGCATTTATTATCAGCACTGTCCCACAGGCCTCTTTCCTACGTCCTGAGCTGTTCAAAATCTACGTCAATGATCTTCCACCTGAGCTTTGAACTGATTGCTTCATATATGCTGATCATCTGGAGCTGTGGCTAGAGATGTCCAAGGCTGATGATGCTGATCTGCTACAGACAACGCTAGACCGGTTCATTGGAACATTGTATCTAATGGGAATAAAACCTCGAGCTTTATATGACCCATAGGGTAAAAAAATTCGGGTCAGGTCTGATGAAAAGTCAGGCAACCTTATAGCGGGTTGGACTCGTATGTTAGCCGTATCTTCATCGGTCTTACGTGTTATTTAAACAGAATGCACGCCGGCTCAAAGCGTGACATCCCACCACGCCCTCCGTAACGGCTATGGAAAGGAATTAGGTGGAAGAAAAAAGTAGAGGAACTCCATCAAGTAGTTATCTCAGGGAATATCTCGGTGTAGCTCGGCCGGATGACAATCCAGGCTAGTCTTTAAATCCGCCATTGGTTGCCAAGACTAAATCGGCAGGCAGAGCGTTCCACTTTCGGCAGATTCGCGAAGCGAAGTAATGTCGTCTGTAGTTCAGCCACTCGTGCTGATGTGTGAGCCTGTTGGTGGCCACGGAGGTGGGAGCACGATTGACGCAGTGCAAGTAGGTAGCGACATTGTTGTCCAGGGTTGGATAAGATCATAACTACAGGCATCAGGTCCCCCCGGAGGCGTCGGTACTTAAGCGAGTAGAGGCCCAGACAGTGAAGTCGTGGATAATGTAGGTGCTTGAGGCGTCGGACCAGTTTTGTTGCTCGACATTGTGGGGCTTCGAGTATACGTTGGTCCTTCAGCAGCCAGGGGCTCCAAGCCTGAATAGCAGACTTTAAGTGGGATCAAAGGAAAGCGTAGAGGAGGAGGCGGAAGTTGCTAGGGTCAGTTTGACCCGAAGACTCATTTAAGCAATCCCACCATGCAGTTAACAGCAGCTGCTGCTTTCCGGCAGGAATCGGATACGGAAAGACTCATCTGGCTAATGACACTCAAGTCTCTTTTGATTGAAGAGATCTGGAGGATAGACGTACCCAGGAAATATATAGGGGAAAAAGCGGAAGGGCGGATAGAAAGGATGCGCCATTTCGAAGTGTAAAATGGAAGTTTTTTTC